TGTATACCAGTGTCAGAAGCTCTTTGGTATTTGTGCCATAGCGTTGTTGTGCTGGATTAAAGCCTTTTGAAAAGTAGTGAATGTCTCTTCTAACTCCATCTATGACTTGAAATAGACATCCTCCTATGCCATATTCACTATCATCATTCATTATCTGAAATGGTACCCCATCGACAGGGTATGCTTGCGTCGCTGAACAGGAGATGGCTTCTTTGAGTTCTTCCCACTTCTTTTTGAGTTCCGGAGTCCATGACATGGATATGTTCTGGTTCATTTTTCCTTTCATTAGGTTCCGAAAGTGTTTCGTTGTGTGGGCAAAGTTAGGAACATGGTCTCGCATGTAATTTGCTAGTCCCACTGCTTTGTGCAGATATCTTTTTGTTCTGGGTAGTGGCCAGTCCATGACCCTTTTCTGTTTCTCAGGGTCTGCTTTGAGTCCCTGTGTAGTGACTTTCACACCGAGGATGTTAACCACTTTGACCGCGAAGGCGCACTTGTTGTGGTTGAGTCGGAAGTTTGTTCCATTCAGACGCTTGATTACTTCACGAACTGTCTTGCGGTGTTCTTCTTCTGTAAGACTCGCAATGACTATGTCATCTACATACACTTGCACTCTTTTGATATCTATGAACAAATTTGCCATGACTCTCTGGAATTGTGCTGTGAGTGAGTGTAGTCCAAACGGCGCGGACTTGAATGAGTATTGCGCTCCTCTCCACGAGAATGTGAAGAAGTGTTGGCTTGCTTCGTCTCACAGGAAATGGTGAAATCATCCTGTAAGATCTAGCTTTGAAAAGAATTATGCCCCTTGTAGGTTGTGTAACACTTCCTTTATTTTCGGTAACACATGCTTGTCTTGTTCATATTGATAACTGATCTCACGTAGGTCTAGACATGTTCTTACTTTTTTGAGGAGACCTGTTTGGTCATGTTCACCTGTTGATAACAACGGTAGGTTCACTGTTGTGGGCATGTTACGTTTGTATGTGTGACCATCTTTAAGCCACCGTTGCACATTCTCATCCGTTTGTGGAATATATTTGTCAGGTACGAAGTTGACTTTAGCGTGCCTCATTTTTCTGACGTTGATTTCATTTGCCGGTACTGTGACTGTGGAGCCTGGTAGGTTGCAATATACATCAGGAGGTATATTTGCATTGGTATCTAGAAGGTCTGTAAGTGACTCTGAAACATTCTTGTTCATGCTCTGGGTCCTCTTCATGTGGTGTGAGGAGCGATTCCCATTTTGCATCTGTTCGTTTGCATCTGTTGGTATAAGTGGATTGATTAACCTCGCTATGTATATACCTATGTATGGTAGAATGTCCATACCGAGAAGTATTGGTGCCTTCTTGTCAGGTAGGTCCAATATTTCAGAACACTGAGAGGTCTTCCTACCTCCATAGTTATTGTCACAAACTTCTGTTGATCCAATGCGTTGTATTCTTGCATCTGTTTGTGCTAGTTATATATAACCCGGCTGCACCCTGACAGAGAGATATAGTTTTAATACTACACTTTTGTCCATGCACGAGCGTTGTGCACCCGAGTATACTAGTGCATTGTATGTATTTCCATTAATTTGTATATCAATGTGAAAGCGTTGGTCTCGTGGTGCGGGAAGTAAAGATAAAGGTTGGTAATTTATATCATTTGTATTTATAAACAACGTTTCTTCATCTGGGAATACATCGAGCCTGTCAGCCAGGTCAATCACGGTTGCTTCCGCCCACCAGTTTTTTCAGTACTCATCACCTGTGATGTCTTCCACCTTTCCAGATGTAATGGACAGTCTTGCTATCTGTACCTTCTTGGGACACTTATTGAACCGATGTGGGGCTGATGATTCCAGGTAGCAGGGACATGGGCGCGCTTCACGTGCCCCCTTCTTCTTCTGTGCCTGTCCCCCTGGATTATCGTGGTAGGCACCATTGTCTGGTTTATACCGTTTGTTAGCATCGGTAGTGTTCCCCTCTGCTGGTGTGGTTTTCTGTGCGTTGTTACGCTTGTTTAGTACTCGCTCTTGATCCCTCAACATACGCTCTGCTTGTCACAGCCGCCATTCTTATGTGTGACTCAGTCATAGTATGAAACTTGGTGTGTTCTATGTCTGACAAGTGTCCTTCACTCCCATCTGGTTGATTATCTCTTTTGATTAGAGTATCCACCAGTGTTTGCAGTCCATAGTACTTAAGTGTTTGCAGTTCATAGTACTTAAGTGCTTGGTACCTTGTACTTTGAGGATTTGGAAGTGTATGGGTTCCTTGTATGAGTTGCGGTAAAGCTCCTCTAACATCGCCATTGTCTTGTGCGCACGCTCTGTGCGCACTTCTATGTTCAGTTTCTTATTATGCTTATCATTGAGGAACTTCTCCAACAGATAGTCTACTGGGTGTGATCTGAGTCTATCAATAAGGATTCTATTGAACTGCTCTGGATCTTTAAAATGCTAGTCGCATGTGTCTCAGAATCTCTTAAGTTATTGAGTACTGATTTGGTTTTCTCCGTTGTAGGGTATGGAGAATAGCTGCTGTTTTATTTGCAGAGTACAACATGAAGATACTCAAAACCGACGCTTTGAAAGTGTTAGACCAGGATACTGTCCCACAATCTAAGGCAGTCAAGCATCTTGACCCCGCTTTACAAGCGCACGCAGGGTTGATACTCAAACCATCACAATTGAAAGGGCATGTGAGAACAGTATCAAACCGTACATTGTTGGATCACATAAAACAGTTGCAGCTAATAGACTCCGCAAAAGATATTCGTATGAAGGTCCCGGGCACTACATTCGTAGTGTATAAAATTATATGTACCTATGTAGAAACCGATATTTCTATGTACGACGGAATCTACTTAGCACTTGGTGACCTGAAGCGAGTTTATGAGTGTATCTACCAAGATGGGGTGCGTTTAACACATATGAATACTGTTTCCGGTGGTGTACTTCAGTTTCTCACCACATACAATGCTAATTGTCATCTGGAGTTGTTAGCTATTTCGACAGCGAGCAAAGAGAATGGGCCCTACTGGAACAGATTCAAAGAGCTCTCTGATAGTTGTTTTCCAAATATGTCTGCGTACCTTGTAAATAAAGAAAAAGGTAAGTATTTTCGTTTTAAATCTATAGTTACTATACTATGTTTCTTTCAAGTGGGACGTATCTTTATTTGGTATATTTTAATGCGAAGCAATCATTTATTAATTAAGTATATTCGTGCTTTGATAGGCATTCATCAGAGCATCGCAAATTCAGTGCATCAAGTCCAAGCTAGAACTTGTATACTGCATATCATCACAAGCGTGATGAACAAAGGGCTACTTGGTAGAAACGATATACCAACTCATCAATCGATAATTGCTATGACTAAAGCAGCTACCGAACAGGCTTACAACTACCACGTTCAAGTAAGTATTTATTTGTATACAGCCAAGACTCAGAATAAGCTTTTTCTTGCACTTCATGCACAAATTGTGGGTTGGTTTAATGTTTGCTTACTTATGAATCTAAACATATAAGAGACAACCACGAACTTGGAGAGAATATTATGGATTACTTGGAGAGCCGAAAGGAAGAATTCGCCAATTATCTATTCATGGAGGCTCGTCGAGAACACAATGCAATCTTCACTGATCCAGAAACGTATGTAATTAGTAGTGTAGTCCGATTTGTTAATCGTCAATCATACAATTTTGTTGTATGTTTAGGACTAACTAAGTTGAATTAATCCAAACTTTTCAAATTCAAAGGGGCTTCTCTCTTGAGACGCAGATATACAAATTTACCTCGTAATTTTGACAGAGCAAGCAAATTTTGTGCACCTGGACATGAGAAGTGCAGATATAGTAGATATGCTTATACTTTATTCGAATTAGCATATGAAGAAATGAAAGGAGTGTCAGGACGAAGCTAGGCAACTCCATTGTGAAGGAAAGCAGGTATGCAATACTGATATCAAATTAACCATGATTGATCGGCAAATCCGATATTACATTTATGCACATATACAAACGCTTTTTACGAATTTAATTTCTGCAGGCTACACCCTGGGCAGTAGAAAAGACAATAGCCCACCTCAATAGGTCAAACCCATGTACCGTAGCCATCGTGAGCAATGCTGTAAACGGAGATTGGTTCGATTGCCAGGTAAACTTCCAATCGCACAGTTCAACAGTCCAGACCTGCTCAGACAAGCTGGTACGCTCTGGGGCAATTATAGATTGTGAGAGCTGCAATTTGCATGTGTCGGAAGGTATCCCTTGCGGGCATGCTGCGAAGTGCTTTGTGCACATTGCTAAAGTATCTAACGTGAATGATATCGCGAGTGATTATAACCTGTATTACAAATGTTGGTATTCGCGATTGTTTTGGGTGGAAACTTACATCTTGCAAATCACGGGACAATCGATGTCCTTTGACTTTGAAAATATGGAGCAGCATTCACTACTTTTCTGTCCTACTCCGAGACCAGCGGGTCCCCCGAAGAAACGGCTCGAAAAGTCATCTCGTAGGTAAGTAATTTTGGTTTGATGAGGTTTAATAATAATAAACAGTGCCCTTTCAAAGACCAAGATGTAAAACACCTTTTCCATTTTAATTGTATTAGGGATCATGTACTTAAGAAGACTATAACGTGCTCGAAGTGTGGAGAAGCTGGCCATAACATCAACACCTGCGATGGCGAGTATGTAGTTTATTGATTTTTCGATTCTGCGCGTGCTCGTCAATCTCTATGGCAATTCTCTTCTGAGTATTCATTTGTGACTATCTTGCTTAAATTTACTTTTACTCTCTTACAGCGACAATTCGTATCAACTAAAGAACCTTCGAAGTATACGAAAGCTAATAGAAGATCACGAAAGTTCAAGGCAAGGAACATTATCAGTGATTGCAATGTTGAGTTTGTTGCTTGTGATAAATTTCCACGTCATCCGCCACGTATGTCTATTCGGTTTCTTAAAAATATTGAATTGATGCTGATAAGGGAAGGAATTGAGGTTCTATATTAATGATCGTGACTTTAACGAAGACCCCAAAAACAGTGACACCGTTAAGGATTCGCCCCTACGGGAGGTGCCAACAACTGATGCGCCACGTTCATCAACGCCATCTGCCACGTATGTATATTCGGATTCTTTAAAACATTGAATCGATGCTGGTAGGTGAAGGAATTGTATTTTCTTATGAGATAACGGAAATCTGTTCATAGGAGAAATATAAGACGCAGTACTACGTGTATATGCCGCGATGGGAACAAGCGATTGATTCGGGAGAACATCAGAAGGGAGCTTCTTTACATCAAATTAAGAAGGGAGCTTCTTTACATCAAATTATCAAGCAATATCAAAAGGAGAGGGAAGCTTTCCTCATAGTGACCTCTACTGCTTTTGCCGGTAATCGAATATATCCATGCATCGGGTGCACCAATGAGGGAAAAACTGGCTGCAAACCGCAACGCACGCCTAGCAGCCAAACGAAGCAAGACGCTTGGCAAGTCTAGAGTGTTAATGACTAGCTAAAACAAGTTGTATCGCTCTACGTTGTTGATAAAGAGAGCGCCGCCTTCTATAATAAGCAGTGGGAACAGTATCCATGCCGTCGAACGGACTTCCCATACCCCCCATACCTCCCATTCTCTGGCCACCACAACCGCCCATACCACCCATACCGCCCATATTGCCTCCACAGAACTGTGCGAATATGTTATTGGCGTCGACAAAACCTGGTAACCTCCTCCATTACCTCCTCCGGGTCTGCCGCCGAATGAGTTGAAGCTGAAGCCACCAGGCATACCACCTATATATATATATATATATATATACGTTTTACTAAAGACGGAACAGAAAGGATTAGATGTAAGTTATTGTTGCACATGGTGGAGTGTCGCAGCAAACGAGCTTCTACTCGGACAGTACAATCATGCATATTCTTTGCAGCTCAGTTTGGGGTTCACTGCATATTGGCAGATGAAATGTATCCTCCTATTACTATAATATGACATACACCAAATTCAGAATATATAATCCACACGATTCTTCAATCAACGTTATACACTATCCTCGAACTCTGTGAGGTATGCACGCGCCAACAGTACGTGCAAGGTTCTCGATGTATTTACCTTGATCTTGGTTGAAACATGTAGAAAAGAAGCGAAAGGAGATAATCAACGTAGATACCAATGTAGCGATAGGTACCGTGGCAGTGTCGAAGTCATTTTATGTCGGCGGCTGGATCTTGCAGGAGAACATTGTAGTGCAATGCTGCAAACCAGGGGAGTGGATCAAAGGCTGGCTTATATCCGGGGTATTCTACCATTTATCACAAGTACCCTCTCTGGCTGTTCGTTTCTGTGATGCTGATGCACGTAGAGTATGGATGAAGGACTTATACAAGTATCGTAGGGCAGAAAGCTCACGACATAAGAGACCACCATAGGTGTCCGAAAGGATCTCTGTATTGATCCCATGGAATCATAGCAACGCACGTTGGAATTTGGCGATTATTACATTGTACATTAGCGCTACAGTTAGTATTTTTGATGGTATGCCAAATCCTGTTAGAGCTGACGAACAATTCAATTATATAATACGATGGATGAAATGTTACCTCACAGATAGTATTACATACAGCTTAAAAGTAGGCGGTATAAACCAACACGACGGGTTTAGCTGTGGGGTTTTGCTTTGTGCCTATGCTAGAGCAGTATCAGAAAATCCACAACTCGTGCATGATTTGGAGGCATTGTCTTCACGCGAATATGTCACAAGCGTCCAACATGATAACAGAATTAGAAAATGAATTTCCGGAACACTATTCTCGTGTATCCCTGTAAAAGAGCATCACAGACCACGTGAGTTGCGAACCAGGCAGTGAGATAAGCTTGAATGAAGCATAATATATCAACACCAATCAATAAAAGACAACATACCCCCCCCCCCTCAACACATTTATTCGTAAAAAATGGATATAGCCGAAGGGTCTTTAATTTAAATTTAGGCATATTTTGCACGATTAAGTCACTAAATGTACACAAAAAGGTTGGAATTGTCGCTATATGTACATTTGTACATATTTGATCCATATTTCAGTACATTTTTTTCGAGAAAAAGGGTGAAGGTACATTTAGTGACTTCTCCACATTTACAATGCACATTTAGCGACTTTGTTCGTTGGTCATAGATGCCTACCCTCATCTTATGTAAAATTGGTATGGGCACCGGTGCGGTTTGTTCCCATTTGGACACAAACCGACTCGCGAGAACGTGATTGCCTTAACCGATACTCTTGACTATTTCTAGACGCATCGCTGACGCTAATATGGGTGCCCCCGCCGGTGTAGGCTGGCCCGAACTACTACCTGGGCTTGCCCCCCCCCCCATTGGACTAACTCCCGCGTCATCCGCGCCTTCACTACCTTCCTCTCTACCATACACGCCTGATCTGGTTGCTGTTGGCATTCTCAGATGTCTGTGTTGGTGTGTGGGTGTTAATGGGTTAAAAATGAAGACTCTTGGTATGATTTGTGCGAAAGTGCGCGCTTCACCTACATAAAATTGAGTTCATTTACTTACTATGATAGTGTTGTTGCTTTGCTGCACTTCCGCGGGAAGTGTTTACCGTTCCTTATCGTCTGGTAGCTTGTTGCTGTGTCCCCTTTATTTCTGAGGGTTGAAAACGGTGTTTGTTTATTTCGTCATGTGTGACGTCACCTGTGCTTATTCGTCATGTGATAAATTATTTTCTCATGTGCGACCTTACCGTCACTTGTGTTTATTTCGTTATATGAGAAAATATTTTCCCATGTGTGATCGTACTGTGATGTTCGGTCCTGTTGACGTCACCTCCTGATGTTCGGTCCTGTACCTCATTGTGTTTCCAGTAGAGTCACTTCTTGAACTCTGGTCTTGTACCGAGCTGTGTCTTGTGTGGACATCACTTGATATTAGATTCTTGTTTAGTGTAATTTTATTATCCACCTTGTCACTCACTTGTACACATTGTAGCCCATGGGCTTTGTGATGCTACTGTGATGTAATTTGCACTCTTGTATGTCTACAACCCCTTCGCCCTTGTTGGCATATTTTGGTCCCTACAAAATATACTTTTGCTGTCTGTCCTACACCTCTATATGTTCGAGCATGCTTGTTTCTTGTTCGTGATCAGACTTTGTGAAAAGTAATGGAGATGGCTTGTCGTGTGATTTCCGAGTGTTGTTGTGCCACAATACCACCTTTGATTATTCGTTATTATGTGGACTTATGTTTGTTAATATGTGTGTGTACGCTAGACTGTGTGGGTACTACTTGTAACCCTATCTTGTGCGTCACTTCACCTCAGCCAACTACTGTGCTTTGGTGATTTGCTTGTACATGTCTGATATTTGACTTGTTTCTTTGGGTGACGATTGTGTCTGGTGTATGTTCCAGCCGTCGTTGTGCTTTACCCTTAATGCTCTTGTGTGAGCTGTGGTTGTTGTGTATCGTAATCGTTATTGGTACAGATCGTGTGTTGTGATTTTGCGGTACTGAATCGTTTTGACTTCCTTCAATCGTTATTTGATGCTATGTGCGTCTTGATTGATTCTGTGGGTTGTCTGATTCTTTTTATTTGCGTTTGTACTTGTTTGGCACTTCACTTCTTGTTAACTGCCGTTGTGTGCTTATTGTACTTAGTCTAGGTCATGTATTGTCTCTGTAATCTCACATCTGGCTCAATTTATCACTTTGGTGTTGTCAATCTTGAACTCTTACTAGTTGTTCGAGTCTTTGTTCATGTGTTATGCCAGTTCCCGTGTACTGCATCTTTGTGAGTGGCTTGTATACCAGCGGTTGTGTATGTTTTGTTCTTGTTTTGTGTTCATTTGACCTGACACTGTTCTTAGCATGTGATCTTGAATTGATCTATTGTTTGTGAATTTATCTTCTGGAATGACTAGCTGTTTTAGTGTTCCTTCGTCTTTTAAGCATGTGCATGTTCTGTTGGTTCGTTATCGTAGAGACTGGTATACTTCTCCTACTTAACTATGCTCATGTCTTTCCGAAATGCTCCGAAATTTAGATTTGATGGTTGTAAATCCTACGATCTCTGTGAGTTTTACTATATGTTGTTACGTTGTTATTGTTTTTGTGTACCACTATTGTCTTGTGTTTGTCTTCTTGTGTCTATGCTTGCACAGATGTTCTGAGCTAATTCTCTTGTGTCACGTATATTCTGCTATTGTTCTCTAGGAGAGCTGTGTGAAGTGATATGGTTTCTTTTTGTGATCATGACATCAGGTTATTTTCTTGTTCGAAAACACAGAAAATATCCAACATTGATGAAATGAACACTGTGATAGCTCTTCCATTTTTTCACTGTTTTAGCCCCCTTACTTAACCAATTTGCACTGAACACGTTACTGAGTAATTTTAGAACAACTCACTCCAACAATATAACAATATATATAGTTATGAACACGCTACTTGCATCTGTATATTTTAGAACAGCACCTTCACCTACGTTTCAAATGTGCACCCGCTTTGGTTACCTTGCTTGTCCTTCTTCTTCGTTTCTCAAGCTGTCTTCATGTCTACTTTGCTTCTGACCTCTGGTCGTTTAGAGTCTTATTTCCTCTTCCCTTTTGCGGTCCGAGTTTTTCTGGCCTCTTCGTTGACACTTCTTCCGGTCTAGGTCTCTCTTCTTAGTTGTTGGAACCACTTCTAATGAAGTTTATGCCTTTCTGAGTCACCTAGTGCGTTACTTCACTTGTATGTTCTTTTTGGTTGTAGAGTGTAAATTGTTAGACTTTAAGAAAGGATATTGTAAAAAATGTAGAGTATGGAGAGTAGCTGAAAGGTACGAGACAAGGGAATACAATAGTCCTCTTCTCAAATACGGTTATCTAAGCTAGGAAAAGTCCCTAGTCTGGGAGAACTGAACTGAGTCCCTATTTGTGTGTTCACAAGACTCAGGATTTACTTGAGTGTGTCTCTCACACGCGGGAGTCCCGATATAGCTTACCGGTTCTACCGCTAATATTTCTCATGACTCTAATATCAGAAATATTCGAATCCTAATTCCAAAACTCAGTATTTGATTTTTCTGGGATTTGGGATTTGTATTGTCTTTTTGATAATCTGCTTCCTAGATGCTACAACCGACGCAATGTCTTTATACCGTTGCGGAGTCGGCCAGTCCAGGAGCTTCGCCTGCTTCTCGCAAAATGGCACTTCGCCGGATTGAGTTTGAAGCTGTGGTATGTGAGACGTCTAATCACTTCCTTCACCGTCGCCATATGTTCGGTGTGGTCGTCGCTGGCAATTATTATATCATATATTTAATGGTGCATCAGAAGCTCATTGAGGATAGTGGTCAACGTGCGCTGAGATTGTTGCGTCAACACATGTAGACCGAAAGGTGCCGATGTAAACGAGTATTGATATCTCACCTGTGTGAAGCTGAACAAATATCTTGAATCCGGATGGATTGGCAGCCTATGATACGCAGCCGATATGTCTAGGGTCGTGTAATACTTCGTGCTTTGCAGAGTGAGATAATCTCCTTGAGCTTCGGTATAAGGAATTAGTCCCCCGGGATAAGTGCATTGTGGAAACAGACCCTCACCTTCTACACCTTCCCCTCACTGTTAAATGTCGGTACTACCAACAACGGAAGATTGTCCGTCGTCGGTGTCGTGCGCTTCGTGATTATTATGTCCTTCAATCATTTTTGGACATGCTCGTCGACATACGGTAGCCATCTATCTGACACGAAGCTGCGTGTAGATCTCCGCATGCTCATCACTTGGTCTAGTGTAACCGGAACTGCTACCTCGCTCCCCTCGAGGCGACGGCGTGCGATGTTCGCAATAGTCGCATTTGTTCGACTCTAGTTCTGCTGTTAATCGTTGTCGAGCGCAAGCCGGTTCCGTTATATTAGGAGCTTGACGTCGTGGTATGGGTTCCAGTAATGTATCCAACTCCGTAAGGTCTATCGGAGCGAGGGATGATTGAATACCCCCTACATACAGTCCAAGGCCTTTCATAATGTCTTGCCCCAAGATAATGTCTATACCAGTTGGTAAATTCAACAGTTCCAGTGAACCATTTATAACGTATGGGTAAAAATTTCGTCGTCCCCAGTCGTGGAGTTCGTACCGCCTTGACAGCAAAATAGATAAACGATCCAGGTGGTGCTGGAGTTATAGGACGGCCTAATAGTTCTGCGGATGTCGTCGCAATGTAGCTTTTGTTTGCTCCCGAATCTACTAATGCCCTGAACATGCGCCCGTTCAGTTGTAGTTGTATATAGATCCGGTTATCCGTTGTGAGTAACGGTCTTTAATTGCCCTTACCTCACTAACAGTATTAACAAATACGAAAGCTACATCCGCGTCCGACACCTTTACCTATCAGAGCTCCTCTGGTGCTGGAGTCCATATGGACTGGTCAGGGTTGGTTGGGCGATGAATCATCATTGTAATCGTCGGCAAGGATTGCACTAATGTGTGTCTCTATTGCTGGCATCGGCAGTGTCCCTGCGTCATTCTGTGTGATTGTGTTGATCTGAGTAGGTATC